TTCTTCTTATTATTACACAATTCAGCGCGCGAAAACAAAAGTTATGTGTTTGGTGAAAAAGTTGGCTGATACGCCTGATAAGGTGATAACAGTGTTACCAAACGGTCTCTTAGTATTTTTAAATGAAAAACTTATCAAAAAGAAAAAATGTAGCAAATAAAAAATATAGGGAGTATATATTAATGAAAAGTCATAAAAGGAGAAAAGGAGTTTTAGAAATCCTTCTAAGATTTCATAGATTTAAATCTCAAAAGTAAATTGAAAAAACGGGAAATATAAATTTGTAAATTTTAGTGGAAGACAAAAAAAGGCTAAAGAATCAAATAGGCCTTTGAATTAACTTAAAGTGTTCAATTAGCCCCTTATATAGGAAGTTCTGCCCGGCCGTCGCTAATTGGGGCTGTTCCCTGTGGAATTTTTTGATGAATTTTTTTGATAATCTTCTTCATTATGTCTAGTTGACCCATACCAAATTTCAGTTAAAAATTCAACCGGGAAGACAGTCAAATGATTTTTCAAAATATATTACACTGTTTAACTTCGCAATTATCTTCAAAATATCATTTTAAGAATGAGAAAAGAAAATCAAAAGGAAGAAAGAGACAAAGTTGCCTGGGAAAGAAAAATGGTATACTTCGTATACTGTATGAAGTACGTATAAGACACCAAAGGAAAGAAAAATGGAATAAAGAATAAACAAAAAGTAAAAAGCACATGTCAAATCAACCATTAAACCAATGACCTACTATAGAAAGTTGACATCCGGTCACTTGACTCATTTGATCATTTTTGAATAGTAAGTGTATTAATTTGATGCTTTTTTTAGTAGAAGGGTTGGAGTGATGGTTTTGGTATAGTAAGTGGGTGTATTTGACCCTTTTTCCTAAATATGGAAATGTTATTGTGAATTTCTTTTATTAAAATGAGAGATGTTTACCATAAAAATATTAATTCCGAATTTTCGATTTATTCAATCATAGATTAGGATATACATGATGTTTTCCTTCTAATCTTTCTAAATTCAAAAATGGTCTCTTTTGTAAGTTTGGTAAACTAATTATAAAAATGTCACCTAGTTGATTTCAGACGTTAATTTGAAACTAAAAGGTGAAGATTAAACGTTTTCTTTTATAATATTTTCTCATTCTAAAAGGGTCTCTCGCCGAATTTCACGAAACCTCGTGTTAATAAAAGAGTGCACAACTTTGATCATTACTAAACGTGTGATAGTTCACTAGAACCCCTATAAATGTGTGTGTGTTCGACACTCAGAAAACCTTGTGCTAATAAAATAGTACACAACTTTGATCATTACGAACCTTACGTATAACTATATTAGATTGTCAAATATCTTGTGATATGATGACATCACAAATTTGATTCTCATTCCAATTAAAGATATTCGCATTATCATCGACATACATGGCACATAGCCACATATTATAATATTGAATGCTACCTTACCCAATGCTCTTTGCGGCTTTTAAAGTCATGTGTTTCAATAAATCATCATCTTTTGGACATATTGAGTTGTCACCTGTATTGATGTGCTATATAACACTGATGATCATATACCTCGATACAAACCCATATCAAATAAAGATGGTGCTTTTGGCCTATACAAGGATAATATTTCAAAGAATGATTTTTTCATCTTCTCACACTATCATTTCCTCTTTTTTATAGTTCCACCTCCTCTTGAGTAGACTAACAATTACTCCCGTTCATGAGTTTTATTTTGTATATTGACGATCCAACGATACCTAGGGCCCCAGGGTGCAAATGAGTTTAAATTAAGAACATTATAGATATAGTATTAATGATACAACAATCTCTTGGACCCCAGGGTGATTGTGAACAAGTTCTACATGATTCAATTAATCCATTTATTATTCAATTCAATGATCAATAAATTCATGGAAATCTTGTTATTAAATTCATTCATAAGATTTCACTAATTTTTTCGAGTATAATGATTATTGAAAGTCATATCTTAGAACATCTTCATGTAGGATTCACACCAAGCATGAAAACCATTTTCATTTTTTAAAAAATCAAACCAAATTTGAATAGTTATGCCTACTACCCAACATTTCGTAGATGTTTATTAGAATATCTTTGTAAAATACTAGACTATACTCCCTCCGTTCCGAACGTCAAATTGACTTTTCTTGGTCAATGACAATAACTTTTATCAATGATATTTTTTAATATGAAATTATTTAGAATATGAAAATTATATCAAAATGCCCCTTATTCAAAATATTTTCATCAATGTATTATATTTATAAATTATATACAAATATAATAATTGAATTCAATGTCTCAAGTTTGTCATCATTGATTAAGAAAAATTAATATGACAAATATTTTGAGGGAGTTAGTATGATTCAAAATGCATCGAGCGATACCGAAAAGGAAACAAAGTAAATAGATTGAGTAATCACTTACTTCGTTACAATGAATATGCTTGTAATTAATGGGACTAATTAAGATCTCATTTAAAATTTGCCAAATAATTCTAGTATTTGGGAGTTGGGACTGAATCCTATTGATACACCATCTTACACGGGTGATATTGGAAACAAGACATTGACTAACCTCTTCCATGCAAATATGCAATTATGAATAAACCTAACGATTAAATGAAGAGGTCTCGCTTGTCTTGATTCTTTTCTAGGATCTAAATTATCATTATAATTTGAAATTTTATCAATTCAGGACCCGAAAGATAGATAAATTATTAATCCGGAACCTAAACGATGAAATGTATCAATATTATAGGATCTGAGTGATAGAAAACTATCAATCTGGGACCTAACGTTTCATAGGTTGTGATTTATTTGATTTCTGATTGATTCCATTGCTAATAATTTATTTTAAGCAACATTAGTTTTCATTAATCAAATCATGGTTCAACGAGTCCGAAATACATTTATACAAGACTAGCGAAGAATATACCAAATAGAGAAGAGCTTTTAATACAATTCAATTTGCATATAACTTATATTTATATCAAATCATGGTTCAACGAGTCCGAAATACATTTATACAAGACTAGCGAAGAATATACCAAATAGAGAAGAGCTATTAATACAATGGGAAATTTACCGGAATATGACTAAAACTCAATGAGTTTCTCAATCTATGATCTAACTAGTTTTTATACCTTTGTATGACTAAAAATCCAAAAACAAATAGAAAATCCGTTTATAATTAAATTTTGAATGACGAAAATACCCTTATTTAAAATATGTGCATTTTGCACTAATTTCGTTCAATTAAAATTACTGCACTTTATATTGCCGTTAATGCACAACATTACTGCACAACATTATTGCACAACATTACTACACATCCGATAATTATCACTTCACTTCCGCCAAAATTAATTCTCTTCTCATCCACTTTATGAAATTATTTATGGTTTTATTTTTTTAGAATATTTTATATTTAATTGAGTATATTGCATTTCATGGCGGCGTTACTGCACTATTGGGCATATTCAGTGCACAATAAAGTTCCTTAATGCATTCATTCAATGCCATGTACAACATGTATATTGTCATATTCACTGTCATAATTATTGTCATGTTCACTGCCAATTTTCAATGCCCACAAACCTTAAATTCAATCACCATAGTCGGCAATATCTATTATCATGCTCACTGTCCATATTCATTGCCCATATTTAATGCCCACAAACCCTAATTTCTTTTAACCATAATTTCAAAATTAGAAAAAAAAGAATATGGATGGAGGAGGACGGCCACTCAAAAATCCATCTCTATCAACCATTCTTTTCACCCACCAAAGCAACATTATCTCTATAATATATACTCCGTATATTCTTTTTTCCTTTTTGAAGATGAAGACGTACTACACAACCTCTCTTCCTCGAACAACCACGCTGGATAACTCTTGCGGGACTTGTTGAACCAAGTACCTCTGCATTGCGGATCAAATCATTGCAGTAGAAGACGGGCCATGACCTGGACGGCAGCAGCGGCTGGATGAATTTGGCAGACGATCTTGCTCTTGGACGGCGGCTGACGGCTGGCCATGGGGTGGCGGCAGGCAGAGGCGTGGGTTAGCTACGCAGGATGGTGGATGGAGGCAGGCCGATGGATCTATGAAAGTGGGAGAGTGGAGGCTAGGGTTGGAGAAAAGAGTAGGAGGTTAGGGTTTTATAAATATAACATAAAGGGTATATTTGTCCACCTATATTTTTTATTTAATTAATTATTACGAATTTAATTAAATATTAATAATATTTTGGTAAAAAAACTAGTTAAGTCATAGATTGAGAAAGTGAAGAAGTTTTACTCATACCTAAGGTAATTAACTCTAATACAATTAGATGAGCTAATAATACAAATAGATTATAGAGATACTTGATTTCTATATTTTCAATTCAGAGCTAAACCTTTTCTTTTATATTTATATTTTTCTTGTTTTTATGTAATTTATTATTGTAGTACGCAATACATTTATTTTTTTATCATTTTTACTTTTAGCCGGACTTAGTAGGCAGTTAGGCACTTAGGGAATGTTTGGATCTGATTTTTAAAAACTGCTTCTGCTCCTTAGTAAGCAGAAACAGAAGTTGGAGTGTTTGGGTGAAAGTACAAAAAGTTCTTATAGTTCTCTAATTTACTCCTAGAAACATTTTTTTTAGAAGATGAGGGAGATCAGCTTCTGAAAATGGATTCTAATTCTGCTTTTGTTTGAAAAAAGAAGTACAAACTGAATCAGTTCCAAACACCCCTTACTAAGCACTCCTTTTTTAGAAATTGAACTTTACATCCTATAAATCTATAATTGGATTAATGTGTTTAACTTTGCACCAACAATTAGATTAAATATTTTATTTTGTACAACACTTTTGAGTTTAGGGTAGGAATTCGAAACATTTCAAAGATACACGACAGAATAAAAATTAAAGTAAACACGTGGGGCAAATTGAAATCTTCCGAAATTATACGCATCCTTCTCCCGTGAATAATGGGCAGGAAGCTCGTCTCTTTTGGCACTGTAACCAAAATCATCATCTCACGCTCCTCTGAAAATGAGATTCTAAAGTCAGTCACTCTTCCGTAGTCGGTGCCGTTCTTCATACTTTTCCTTCTCTAATCCTTCTCCAAGAAGTGTTCGTACGCCGGAGGGAATGACGTCTCCCGGCGGGGGATCATCGGCGCGGCTTCCGACGTGGAAAGAGAGAGAGAACAACAAGCGGAGAGAGAGGAGACGGCGAGCCATAGCGGCCAAGATTTTCTCCGGGCTAAGAGCTCAGGGAAACTTTAAGCTTCCCAAGCACTGCGATAACAACGAGGTCTTGAAGGCTCTCTGTAGAGAAGCTGGTTGGGTTGTGGATGAAGATGGCACTACCTATCGCAAGGTAATAATTTCAGTTTCGTTTATTCTTTAATCTAATGTTTCTAGCATTTCTGATCTCAGATCTTGGCAAATTGCAAGTTTCCCTTTATAATCAAATATGGTTTTTGATTGTTGTGGTGAATTGGAGCGGTGGGAGCAACCTAACATAAACACAGATGTGTTTAGTTTTTAAGAAAATTTAATTTAGAGGTATGCTCGTGCTTAGCTCTCCCTCGTATAAATAGTCTTGCTCGTTAGATGTTTGATAGAACTCCTCTCAGATTAATCTGTGCGAAGCAATAACCATTGGACAGAATTAGGATCTCCACCCGTTGGCTCCATAAAATCCTTTCTTTTACTTCCAAGATGCTGACTTTTTCTTTATGGTGATCCACAACGAGATCTCCAGTTGAGTTCATGATCCGCCAAATCTCTCTGCACCTGAAGAGGGATGCACATTTTGTATCGTTTTCTTGGTTCAACGAATGCTATTTACTCTACAACAACAACATCCAAGCCTTCGTCCCATAAGATTACTCTGATGGGGTCAACGAATAGTACTTATTCTGATGCCAAAAAATAGAATTAGTCGATCCTTGTAAACAAAGTTAGTGTAAAAAGTTCTAGTCCGGAAGGGATTAATCTGGGTGAAGTGTGCATACTTACAACAGCACCGGTTTAATGCCAATGTATTTGAATTTGTTGCATTATTGGTGTGAATGAATGTGTTAATAATATACATAGTACTTCCTTTAGAACTCGCTCTATGGAAATGCTAACTGTTCTTATAATCTGTCATACAGGGGCAAAGACCATCTCCAAATGAGATAATGGGAATCTCAACAAGCATAAGTGCATGCTCTTCAGTCCAGCCCAGCCCAATGTCATCATCCTTCCCCAGCCCGGCACCTTCTTACCCTGCCAGCCCTAGTCGGAGCCCTGCTCGAGGTGATACCAATCCCCCGTCCTACATCTTACCCTTCCTCCAAAACTTGTCTTCTGTTCCATCTTCTTTGCCTTCACTACGTATATCCAATAGTGCCCCTGTAACCCCTCCTATTTCTTCTCCCACCAAAGGGCCAAAGCGGAAACCTTCATTAGAGCCTCTCTCCAACATTCCGTTCTATGCTTCCCACCATACGTTCTTTACTTGTTCTGCACCATCAAGTCCTACCAGACGCCAACATTGTAAACCGGCTACAATTCCAGAGTGTGATGAGTCTGATGTGTCAACAATTGATTCTATTCGTTGGGTCACCTCCCAGACAGGGGTTCCCTTTGTTGCCCCAGCATCCCCCACTTTTAACCTCGTAGAACCGTTTTCTCAGCAGATCAATCTATCTGCGGTCGATGGGCATGGTGACTTTGATTGGGTAGGAGCAGCTAAAAGGGCACGGTGTGCTGAGTTTGATTTTGAAAATGGAAAAGTGAAGGCATGGGAGGGTGAGAAAATACATGACATTGGTATGGATGGTTTAGAGCTGACACTTGGGAATGGAAAAGCTACTGCGTAAGCCACGGAAGAAAGAGATTCTGTTGGTGGGTTTCTTAAGCCCTAATCCTCTTGACCAAACTGCTAGCATGAATGTTCTTTCTTTTGTAGTGCAACATAGATGAGCATCGTGCTTGAAGCCACCTGTTGTTGCTTCTACTTCTTACGTGGACTGTCGTGCATCCTCTGAATTGTACAGTAATACACTTACTGTGCTAAGTGCCTATTTATGTGATCTAAATGGTTCACTTTATTAGTCCATATGAGATATGAATGGATGATATGTGATGATGGTGGCTTTGGACTATTTCTCATCCACTTCTTCATTAACTTTGTTTAGATGTTTTCTTTTGATATTTCTAGTTGCTTGAAGGCCTTTAGGTCATCTACAGCTCACTTTCAAGTGACTTGTTGGGTCATTAAGACATTTCAAGATTATTTCTCGCTCTCATTTGTAATGAGACATGGAAATAGTATCGATTTACTGATAATTTTTCTTGTAGAATATCTTGGGCAAGTACTTTTGTGTTCTTATTATTGGTTCCTAATAAGTTTATTAGTTTACTGAATATAGCTCAAACTTTGAGTACCTACGGTAGGTTTATGCTGAAACTGTGCTCAGAGCCTCAGAAGAACCGAATGACGGTGAATAGCCAATGACACAAGTACATACCTTTGTTTCGTTATTCGTGCTATTTTTCTGGTATGACCATTATATACAAGTACTTAACTTATACCTCCTATTTCAACCTTTTGCCAGCATTTTCAGCTCTACTGGGGGAGTACTTATCTTCCAACTTCTTTGAAAAGACATAGGCATTGGTTTCTTGTGCAATGTGGTGGAGTACACTAAGATTAATCCATGGTCCGATTTGACCAATAGCTTTGTATTTATTTTCTTGGTTTTTTGCCTTGAATATTACCATATTTAAACTGATTTTCAAAAATGTGACCATTTTAAAAAATGACAAAAATGTGACTAAGGTCACATATTTGGAAAACATGATGTCACTTTTATTTTTTGTCACTATCGGACTGTTATGTCACTATTTTATGTCACTGCCGCTACGGTCGGTCATCGCCTCCGGCCACAGTGACATCATCACAGTGACACCATCGTTGGTCACAAACTCATAGTGACACTGACAAAGTGACTAGGGCCGAATTGACTCCCCATTTATTTGTCTTATTAGCGCGGCCACAATGATATCGGTAGAGTGACACATCGTCTGTTGTGTTCCTCCATCCCCTGCTGCCCAAAGCCCCATAGGCCCCGCGCCAACCCCGCTGACCTGCCACATGTCGTCTGCCACCACTGCTGGCCGCCAATCCCAACCTTGCTCCTACACTAACCCCAACCCCCTTTCAGTTTCAGCATAGCCCAGCTCCCTCTCCCGCCTACCCCACCCCCTAACACCACTGTCACTGGCGTCTCCTGCTACACCTGACCAGTGCCGCCATCCCAACCCAGCCCGCTCCCCCAACTCCCCGACACCCAATTGATGCCCTACCACCTCACTCAGCTCCCACCCCGCTCGCAACAATCTCTGCATCAAACCATCATCCCTGCCCCTAATTCCAGATCCGACCAGCAGCGGAACCACACCGGCTCATATGGTCACAGATCTGAAGTTGATTCATCAAAGGTCATTTTCATCTTCTAAATTTTTTAAATTTTCTATTTGAGAAAACAAGTGACAAAATTTCAAAAAACTAGCAACACTGGTCTGTTCGGAAAATGTAGGATAGGCACTTTTGAAGTCAAAATATAACTCCGAAAAATTATAGGTGACTATTACGTAGTATAATTTTTAAAAAATCGAGTGATGAAATTGCAAATTTTCAAAATTATAAAACTAACCGGTGACGTGGTAAGTGATGCGACGTTGACAGGTGACGTGGTAAGTGATGCGACGTTGACAGGTGACTTACGAAGTGCTAACGTGGCTGCTGACACTGGAGCACAACAGGAGGACGACGTGGATGCCACACAGGCAGGCTGCATGGCGCTGATGTGTTGCTGACATGGGTGATGATGCGGACATCTTCTTCCTCTTGATGGCGTGTGAGGCATGTGTTCCTTCTTGTCGGGGGATGAGTGGCGCGTGCGGTGGTTTCCGGTGGTTGCGGGATAAAAGGATCAAACTTATATGAGAGAAAAATATTTATATTACTTTCAAGAACAGAAAGAATAGATATACGGGCGCTAACAAAAAATCATAAAAAAAAGTGCTCACAAATCTCTGAAGTATAGATCTAATAATCTAATGATGATGATATATAGAAAAGCTTTACAAGCTTCTTTATTTATAGGAGCGAAATAGGTAAGAAAAAGGTGTGAGCCTATGAGGAAACTTCAATGGTGATTTTGAGAGGAAGGTGATTCCAAAGTGTGTGAAGTATAGAAGTTGAATTCTTATGAGTAGAACCCAGTGTGGAAATTGTTGAAGGCATGCAGATGATGTGGTGAGTGTTCTACTGAAGTATACTCCCTCTGTCCCCTTTTAAATGGGACGGGAGATGGTGACACGGGTTTTAAAAAAAGTGAGTTTGTGTGGTTGATATTAATTGATAAAGTAAGAATAAAGTAAGAATGATTTTGAGCCACACAAAGTTTACCAAATAAGGTATGAGACAATTAAATAGGGACATCTCAATATGGTAAAATGGGACATTTAAAAGGGGACAGAGGGAGTATTTTTGTATGCAGTTGACAGGGTGAATCCAAGATTTTAAATTGGACTGGATTGAAGATTAAATAGACTAGTTTTAATACTAGTGGGGTGGACTAACAAATTTACACGAAGAAAATTGAAAAAAAATTAACCTATGCTTCAACCTACCATATCTCTTATGCCAATTTCCGTAAATTACATGGTACAGCCGGCTGTACCATGCATGGCACAACGAATTTTTTTTTGTAATTACTCTGCGTTGCAACTCATCTGCGACGACGAAGGACATCGACAAAGACAAAACATCGACTGCTCAGGTCTCCAACTTGCAAAGCAGTCCAAGCCGCACATACTCCGATTGATTGGCGCAGCGAAACATAGCTTCGCTTTTGACCTAAGATTTAGATTCTTTCCACCCCCTGTTTCCGCGCTGGCTTATAGAAAGAAGAAGGCAAAGGAGTTGAAAGCTCTTTGTGGATCTGTCATATTGTATGGAAATGAGTTTAATATTAAAGTCAAATGAGTATAATGTCTAAAAGGAATGAATATACACAGATGAATATTGAACACATAAGAAATGAGTTTTTATGTTAAACTCAAATGAGCTTTTAATTTTTTTGATACTCATTTTGTAAGTTATGTATGCTCATTTGGATTCGCTGTATGCTCATTTTAAAAGGTTGCACATTTCAAACATATCATACTACATTATAAATGAGTTTTATGTTAAATTCAAATGAGTATAACGTCCAAAATGAATGACCACATACAAATGCGTTTTTGATTTTTTTGATACTCATTTTGTAAGTTATGTGTGCCCATTTGATACTGCTTTATGCTCATTTTAAAAGGTTACACATTTCAAACATATCATACTACACTAGATCCACATATTAAAATTAATTGAAATTGATTATAGACATAACTTAAGACTTTTTAATAAACGAAAACATAATAAACAGAAAGTGATATATAAGGTATGAAGCAGAGATCACTTATGCTCACCGTTAGGCTCCTCATACTCAATAGAATAGACTTGATGCTCATCAAAATTGCATAAATGCTTATTTAAGAGAATCCGCGATTTTCACAAAAATTACAAGTTTGCCATCGGATCGGCTGTACAGTGGTCACTGTATAGCCGGCTGTATAGTATACGAATCCGCCAATTTCACTAGTGAATCGGTCCAGAGTCTTCCAAATTCATTTGAAATTGTGGATCATGCACCAAATATTCTATCAATTGAAATTGTGGTCACTGTAAGAGCTTCCTCTGAGGATAGTCAGGAATCTATTATTCCTAAATATGTTTCACTTGTAAGCAAGAAGAAGCGATAAAAGATCCACGTAAAGACATTAAAATGGGGAAAAGACTATAAGAATGGCAAATCTAATGAATTTGCTCCTAAGTTTACATTTGCATGTGTGAACCACACTCTCTTCTAAGAACGAGTTTTCTCAGTGACTACTATAAACATAACAAGATTTATTTGAAGAGAAAAGGGATAAGGGTCAGATAGGGCCTCGAACTCGAAAAAAAATGTCAAATAAGGTCATATTTAGGATGCTCTGTCCGGCCGACGCCATTTGGGGTGGTTCCCGATGGAATTTTTTGATGAAATTTTTTGAGCATCTTCCTCATTAAGTCTAGTTTACTCATACCAAATTTCACCTAAAAATGCAACCGGGAAGGTAGTCAAATGATTTTCCGAAATGTACGGGGTTGTTTAACTTCGCAATTATCTTCAAAAAATTATTTGACTACCTTCCCGGTTGAATTTTTAGCTGAAATTTGGTATGGGTAAACTAGACTTAATGAGGAAGATGCTCAAAAAAATTCATCAAAAAATGGCATCTGGAACCGCCCCAAATGGCGTTGGCCGGACAGAGCATCCTAAATATGACCTTATCTGACATTTTTTTTCGAGTTCGAGGCCCTATCTGACCCTTATCCCAAGAGAAAATGTTAAGTCTTTATTTGTTGTATAATAAATAAAAATAGATATAATATTATACAACGTAGGATAAGTAGTGAACTTGCTATCCCTCTAGAGCATCCTTGAGATTTTCTTCCACGACGATTTCACTAATAGGGCCGTACGTGTATGATAGTATGGCTATTGGGAACTTTACTCTAAACATTCATAGCTCGAGTTCGGTTCAGCTCAATATATAATAGTGATGTCGAGTTTGAGCTCAAAACTCGACGAGCTTTACAAACGGGCTAGAGTTAGTCTCGTTTGATGTTCGATGTTGAGCAAAGTGCTCCTCGCTCAATAAGTTCGATATATTTCTAGCTTATTCTTGTTAATAGGTTCGTTCTCCGATTATTTAACAAGTGCTCGGAACTCTTAATTATTATATTTAAATTTATACATCCACAATAAAGGTGTTTAAATTTTAACACATATAATTTGTCCATATAATTTTCAAGCGTACGATAGGCTCGAGTTCAAATCAAACCGATTATTATTATGTTCAAGCTTGGCTCGATTCAGTGTTCGAACTTCATACCTGGATCATTCTCGAGTAAGAAACTCATTTAGCTAGGTATGTCAATGGGTGCAGGTTTCCCCCGCCCCGTCTTGCAAATGGGGTAGGTCTGCTTCGCCTCTCCCCACCCAACAATGGGGCGGGTCCGTGTATTAGTATTGTCCCGCGTAGTCCCGTCCAGCTCAATATACAAGTATGCATGTTTTTTTAAGAAATTACACTACAAATGTACATATGCATACAATCATACATATATGTGTATAATAAATTATAATACATTTCAACTTTTTTTCGATCCAAAAGCTCAAAACACTTTTTTAAGTTTTTGCGAAGAGGAACTTGCTTCGCGTACACGCCAGCTTATACGCAAGCTTACACGCCCAAATGTAACCGTTTGCACACAAACAATTACACTTTTTTTAGTAAAGAGAAGTTTTTTTTTACTCCGGGGGGGGGGGGGGGGGGTCAGGGGAAGGGGGGCTGGGGGGAGCCTGGAGTAATACGGGCTGAAACTCACTCCATTGAGTTTCAACCCCCTATGTGCCTAGCGTGTTTCGAACTCGAGACCTCTCACTAAGCACGGTAACTTCGCAACCAGCTGAGCTGGAATGCTTGATTTTTAGTAAAGAGAAGTGTGACTCCAAAAAAATGAATTGTTCGCGCACAGACAATTAGGAATTATAGACACTTTCCTTTACTAAAATTTAAGTGTAAGTGTCTGTGCACAAACAATACACTTTTGCGTGTAAACCGGGCTGGTATGTAACCAGACGGGTACACGAGCAAATTCCTTGCTAATATTCCCGCTTCAAGTAACAAAAGCTAGAAGCTTG